GATGAGCTTCTCTTAAGCTTCTCATGAGCTTCTCATGAGCTTCTCTTGAGCTTATTATGAGCTTCTGATGAGCTTCTGATGAGCTTCTCATGAGCTTCTGATGAGCTTCTGATGAGCTTCTGATGAGCTTCGCAGCTTCTGATGAGCTTCTCTTGAGCTTATTATGAGCTTCTCATGAGCTTCTGATGAGCTTCTGATGAGCATGGTTTGATGTGAATCTGAAATTTAAATAAAACGTTAGAATTCAGGTGTTGCCATAAAATCTGATGTTGTGTGTGTGTGTGTGTGTGTGTGTGTTTGTTTTCATCAGATGCAATCCCGGATGATTTTTACCTCTACCACAAACAGATGAACCTCAGGACGGGAGCATAGAAGAGCGCTCATGACTTTAATCACTGCATCATGCAACCTGAAGTTACCACTGTCTTCTGTGTGTGTGTGTGTGTGTGTGTGTGTGTGTGTGTGTGTGTGTGTGTGTGTGTGTGTGTGTGTGTGTGTGCGCGTTCTTGTCTCGCTGTTTCTGGACAGTGTTTGTTTTTTTTTCTAAATGAACGATTGTCTACTCACTACGTGTCTGTATTAAACAGTATTTAGTCCAGAGAGGCTCACCCGGAGGAGCATCAGGAGTACGCTGATGTTACGTCATTAATGTTATACGGTGAAAACCTCCGTTACAAACACGACCGCTCGACAAATACAGTACGCCGAGCAACACCGAGCACTAGAGGTGTGGATCCCTGCCCGTGAAAGTCATCCACAACTTGTACGGCCATCGTTTTTATAGTAAATAAAATGTTTCTGATAGACGACACTTTTACCTTTGAGTAATCCAGATTCTCTGAATCCTCAGAACTACAGGCTCCGCCCTCTTCCTCTGCTAAACCAATGGAATGGCAGGATGTGCATATTAAAATATGACAGGGTTTTATATTTTACAACACAATATCATATATCATACTCAGAGGAGAAGTTTTTCTTTCTGTTTTTTGTTTTGTTTTGTCCCGATGCTCAAGATAAATCTGAATGAAATATGTTGAGTTAAATGAAATTAAAACCTTTACGGCTGGACTTTTAACAGAAACTTATTCATTCACGCCAGTGTTTACTTATTATTATGGTGCTACGTCCACTTCCTCCTTGAGTGTGTGTGTGTGTGTGTGTGTGTGTGTGTGTGTGTGTGTGTGTGTGTGTGTGACTAACACAGCATGCACTCATGTCATGGATTTGTTCAACTGTAATTTACAACCCTGTTTATAAATAAAAGTTTTAAAAATACTGTTAATGTCTGTCTGTATTGGTATTGTGGAACACTCCGGGGGTCGTGCCGTTATGGGAAAATAATCAATGATGGGTGCGCGACGCAAAGCAGAGTTACTGTTACCACCTTGAAGCTGATCATCTTCCTAAAACAGCATGTCCCGAAGTGTTTCATTATTTATTTATACTGCAGCAATTTACCATTACAATATTCTATTGATTACAGAACGATTTATTTCTATTTATGTTGTAAGAGGAAAGCTGGCTCGGCCTTGCGCTGCCACTAGTGGGAGGTAGAGATCTGCCAGAAACGTTAGACCAGATTCAACCACTAGAGGGAAGTAGAGAGCTGCCAGAAACGTTAGACCAGATTCATCCACTAGAGTGAGGTAGAGAGCTGCCAGAAACATTGGACCAGATTCGGCCACTAGAAGAAGGTAGAGAGCTGCCAGAAACGTTAGACCTGCTTCTACCACTAGAGGGAGGTAGAGAAAGCCGTTGTAATTATATGAAGTGGCGATCTGCTCCACCGGTGGCTGTGTGGATTTAAGGAGAGCTCTCCACTCATGCAGTGTACAGACTTGGAAATCTTCTGGAACATGTTCACTGGACAGGAATTAGGGCCTGAGAGAGAGTTTTATCTTTGTGTTGACCTTGAGTTAGAAGCCTGGGTGAGATGTTTTCAGAAAGGGCTCTTTCCTACGTGGGTAGTTGAGGACTGAAGCTATTGGAGACAACACCTGTGTGTGAAGCTGCAATAAAAACTGTTCTTCTTTTCCACATTTTTGCCTGCTTGGGTCTTTATTAAGAAGCGAAATCCTTCAAAAATCCATCAGACCTTTTGGCTTGCTCTGTGTTTAAGTTCTTCTCTGTCTATTTGGGAGACTCGCACGGGTGCGTTCTTACCTCTGGTCCCTGGAGATGAGGGTTCAAACTCTGCATGGGGTGACCTCACTGTTACAATGATTACAGCTGCTGGTGTGGAACAGCCACCAAATCAAGCGAGTTTCTGTCGTAGCAGCTATAAACAGTTGTTCTCTCTCTCTCTCTCTCTCTCTCTCTCTCTCTCTTTCTCTTGCTCTTTCTCTTTGAGAGAGGAAACAATACAACAAAAATGCAGCGTGTCATGTCAGAGAAAGTGCGAGGGATAAATTCCTCTGTCCTGTTACAAACCCCTGACACTGGAGACTCCTTCCATAAATGTAAAAGGAATAAATGTTGAGCTGTAATGTATAACCTCATGTGCGAGACCAGGGCGTCCCAGACTGTTTGGGAAAATGGACATTATGAATTTTCTGTTTCCTCAAGCCTTGACCACATTACATCTCTTAAATTCCCGATATACAACGTAGGACTGCTGTAAACATTTAATGACAGAAATTCAAATTCATTTTAAACCAAAGGAATATCCTGGCACTGGTGTCTTGTGTTAGAAGTCTTGCGTTCGGTTGAATATAAAATACTGCGTGCTGGTGTGTTATGGCCTCACGATGTAATAAATCCTAATTTAGTACATATTCATTTATTTTGTTGTTGTAATTTTAATTTAAGACAATATAAGCCAGTGTAGGACTATCTATCTAATCTATAATCTAATCTACAGGTCTATAAAGCAGTGTACTTCTCTTACTTTTCTCTCTGTGACCAAACGTTAGAATTAGAGATGGACGTCTGAGGAAACATCACATCCTGAAACAAATATAAAAGATTGGAAGTTGGAAAAGGAAATGGAAATGTTTACATATAAAACACTTAAGTACTTCAGTTTTTTTTTTTTCTTCAGTTTTTAATGAAACTGCGGACTGGTCGATATTCACCATTTTAGTATGGGAATGAAAAAAAAAATCAAGTGGTGTCATGTGGTCTTTTTAATCAGAACCACACCAGTGTAATGTGTGAGACCGGACAGAGGGAGACTGCAGCTGTACGGATCCGTGCACACACAGTGCTACAGACGTAACACTAAAGCTAAGGCCAAAAAAAAGTGTGTGAATGCTGACGGAGGTGTGAGTTCTGTGTATACACACACACACACACACACACACACACACACACACACACACAGATAAAGGAGACGATGAGGCTGGATGTTAAATCTCATTTCAGCATGATGTGGAAACTCTCTCTCTTCTGCCTGTTTGCTGTTCAGTGTAAGTAGATGAAAAGTTTATGTTCAGAAGAGCAAAAAAAAATGATATGAATTCATTTCACAGCTTTACAATAGACTTTGGAATATTTGTTATGATTGAATTCAGTCCCTTGAGATGTATATAATAATAATAATAATAATAATAATAATAATAATAATAATAATAATACAGCACAGTTCAGCGTTAATATTTGTGCACTGAAAAACTCTTCATTTCAGAATTATTCATTTCAAAAATACTATTCAGGATTAAATTTCAATAACCAGTTTGTGTTCTTTTTATATCTTGAAGTGTATTAAAGTGACAACAATACTCATTAATATTCGAATTATATTTTATAAGCGTATTATTATAATATTTAAAAATAAACATGTGTAATGTCCGCGTAACAAACTGACAGTGAGGTTGATGTGTATCGACGTCATACTGAACGCCAGAATTGTGTCTCTGAATGATGGATTTCTTACTGAAACATGGAGACGTGAGACGAGATGAAGTGTAAGATTCGATATTCGATTCGATTTCTTTTTTGATGATGCCTTTATCGATGCCTTATAGAGCAAATTCAAGAAGTCGAAGAAGTTCAAAAGTAAGCAGCTACCTCTGTGTGTCTTAACGAGCATTAAATATCACGTTTGTTGTAGTTTTTTTTCAAATAAAAATAGCAAGGAGCAGAGATTCAGGAAATGGTCAATAAGGCCTAATTAATGGGTCAAGCGTGATGAACTTTTAACTGCTCTCGTGGATTTATAACCCTCGTGTTAATATTGCATGATCCTCACTGGTTATCTTTTTGTCAGAGCGGTACACGATTACTGTTGCTTGATATGATTTCTAATAACTTTCTAGTTTGATTAGCAGTGGGAACAGGAACGCGGACTGCTAATAAAAGTCCCCTAAATGAATGCAGTATTTAAAAAAATGAATAAATAAAAGCATGTATGGTACAAATATGGTGGCGTTTTTGCTGCATATGAATGGCAGAGATTAGTTTTAAACTGTAATGTGGATTATTATTTATTTTAATGAGGGTGACCGGTTAGCACGTTACAGTAGGACATTATTTCTATGTTGTGTATTTTCCAGCCGTCTCTCTCTTGAACATCATTCAGTATCCTGCAGTAGTGAAGGCGGTTCGTGGTGAAACGGTCTCCATGACGTGTAATACAGTGGATGTCTTGACCAGATGTGATACAGTCTTCTGGTATAAAGTGCAGCTGAGAACCAGAGAGATGATCCTGACCACCGCTGTTCACTCTGTTCTGAGTCTGAAACCGTGTAGAGGATTCATCTATAACACCAGCGTGGCTGATTCGGGCATTTACTACTGCTCTATAAAACACAGTGTTATCTACTACACGGGCAACGGCACCACCGTCATCATTACAGGTAGAGGGTGTGTTCGGGTAAAAGAAAATTGTTTGGTCTGAATTTCCACAATCAGCAGTCGATTATACAGTGTCGTTCATCCTAGTGATTCTGTTGTGTGTGTGTCAGGAAGTTGGGGTCAGAGCACAGGGTCAGCCATGATACAGGGTCCCCTGGACCTGAGAGGGTTCAGGGCCTTGCTCAAGGGCCCAACAGTGGCAGCTTGGCAGTGCTGGGGCTTGAACCCCCTGACCTACTGATCAGTAACCCAGAGCCTTAACCCCTAAGCCACCACTGCATCCCCCAATCCATCACTGCCCCCCAAGCCACCATTGCCCCTATATATACTGCCCCTTAATTCCTATATACTGTTGTGTGTGTATTCAGTATAGCTGCTTAACGCTCTCAGTGAGTAAATCATACTGTTTTTGCTCCATCGCTGTTTTCGCAGAGCCTCGTCCCAGTCCCGTCGTGACGCTCTACGTCCCGGACGTGAGTGTCGGACCCTCCGTCTCCCTGCAGTGCGTGGTGATGGGGGTCGTCCCGTCTGAAGCGGTCGTTTCCTGGGTTGTAGGGGACTCAGAGACGACCGGGTGGACGGAGTCGGGCTGGACCCACGCCAACACCTCAGCTTTAGAATACACACGCGCTCATATCAGCATTCCCTCAGAGACCTGGCTGGAGGCTACGAATGTGGAGTGTGTGGTCGAGGTGGACGGCAGGCGCGTCTCGAAATCTTTTAAAAAAGGTGAGAACAATTTATCATAGTGGTGTCAGCAATGATGAGATTTTAAATGACTGCTACTATTGAAAACTTTTGAGGTGTTGAGTCTGCCCTCAAACTGGATGTTTCTGCGTAATATGTCGTAAATTTGTTTGTTTGTTTATATTCTTCATTTCTCTGCACAGCCTCCAGTCAGGTGTGTCCGTGGTTGCTGTATTTGGGCTCCGGTGTGGTCTTGGCTTTCATTACCGTGATCTTTGTTAAGATACTGCTTTATTAATCGCCAGATGGAGAAATTAGGGTGTCACAGCAGCAGCAAGACAGGTGAAGGAAAACAGAGATAGTAAGAAGAACAATACAGGGAAATGTAAAGAGTATATATAAGATGTATAAATATGTATAGATGTAAGCGCAAACTATATATATATACATATGAGCAGTATGTACAACAAACAACAATGTACAGTCCCAGATATGTATATATCACATATGTACAGTATACACAATACTATATACATATTGCAGCTGTATGGTATAATGAATGTAGACATATAACAATAACTATGAAGTATTGTATGATGTGTAAGCAATGTGTTCTTGGGTTTATAGGAAGTGTAATATACAAGGCTGGAACTGATCTGCATCGGAGAACATGGACGCACTGCTTTAAACCAGAATCCCTAAAGTTCCTAAAGTTTTTTTTTTAATGTATTTACAAGCTTAATAAAAGTAAATTTAAACGATTAACACGTGAAACGTGAACTTTGTCTAACATGTCTGATAGCGAGATTATAAAATATTACACTGCATTATTAGTGTTTATAACACGACCTCCACAGTGACACGACTTCCACTGCTGCACTGTCAAACCGGATAAGTTCATTTAATTCAAAACATTTGAGGAAACCAATTTCCTCAAAATTTTAAAGTTGAGAAATAAAATTTTTTAAGCCAAATACACTTAAATAGAACAAAAATGGAACTCCAACTTTGTTATTTAAAAGAAATTTTTGTTAAGTACATTCAGCTTAAAGAAATTTTGAGGTAATTAGTTTCCTCAAATGTTTTGAAAAAAAAAAGTTTACTGTATAAAATCATACTGTTACCAAACTTGTTAGTTATACATGGGATTGATCTGCTCCCTTTGTCACACTACCAAGCACCTGAGCATCATGTTATATTGTTACATTTATTTACATTGACATTTTTTCATTTTGCAGACATTTTTATCCAAAGCGTACTTACGAATGAGGGAATACAAGTAAAGTGGAGAACAATACAAGTAGTGCTACCATGCAAGATTTATAACTGAGTTCTAGAGAAATGAGTAGCCTAAATATTAGTATATTTCCCACCTTTAAAGCACACTAACGTGGCCAATGATATCTGTGCAACAAAAGAAGCCACTTTCTTTGCTAGAGAAACCTGACATGGGTTTCTGTGAAGGGTCAAAAACAACCCGATGGGTTATAAACCGAGGTGATAGCTGGTGTTTGCAGGGGCCATGCTCACCTGAGGCCCTGTGGTTAGAACAAGGCGAGCTGCAAAACAAAACATCAAAGCAGATTGTCAGATAGTGAGAATGAGCAGTTAACGGACAAATGCGTGCTTGACTTGATCAGGAAGGAAGTTGAGCAACAAATAACAAAACAACTAAACTAAATAATGAATTACAATGAAAGAGTCCTCATCTCATCCTATGGAGTGCTCAACGATCACTGGGTTTCCTTTTACAAGCGTTCCAAGTACCATTAATCATCTAAAGAAACAAAGATCCTAACAATACAGGACCAAAGCAAAGCTTTTGTAGACGTGATTTTAAAAAAAATACTGATTACTGATTGAAATAAATAGGGACAGGTTTCGTTCAGATTTGGCACTCAGTGTAGATTCACATTCATATCACAGTTGTCCTTTGATTGTGATCAGAAGGTGATGATTAGTTTGATTGATCAGAGTCCAGATGATAAATGGATAATTCATGTGTTATAATTCAGTATAATTCCTATGGTGAGGTGTTTTCGTTTTTGTTTTTTCTTCTTCTAGGAGTCGTTTATTTAACATTTACGGAAGGAGTCTCCAGTGTAAAATAAAGCGTGGCATACTCTTTTATATGACCGTTAAAAACCATCTAGTTATATTCGAGTAAGTACTGATTTCTCAAATGCACGCAAGGCTCATGATTTTTATACAATGTGGATTCCACTTATGTGGTTAGAACAAAGCGAGCTGCAAGGCACAGCACCACAGCTGAAGGAGTGGTAAACAAAAGGAGCTCTTAACATGCAACTGTGTGCATGTTAATGTGCTTTCACCTCAGAACAGCACCTCAGCACCTCAGATGTTGGTTTCTGTGGCATTACGAGGAGCCATATTTCCATCTCTGAACTAGTTTAGTTAAATAAAAAAAAAGTTCAGACTTCATAGCTCCATAGCGTTTCTCATGGCATGTCATGACGTTTCTACATGTCATGTTATTTCACAATAACGGTATTGTTTTTTAAACTCTTATTGGCTTAGACATATATATATATATAAATATATATATATATATATATATATATATATATATATATATATATATATATATATATATGTATATATATAAATATATATGTTAACATATATAATATATATATATATATATATATATATATATATATATATATATATATATATATATATATATATATATATATATATATATATATATATATATATGCGCTCATAAATATTCGTCCCCTTGAACTTTTCAACCTCTTGCCACATTTCAGGCTTCAAACATAATGATATAAAATTTTAATTTTTGTGAAGAATCACCAACAGTGGGACACAATTGTGAAGTGGAACGAAATCTATTGAACATTTTAAACTTTTTTAGCAAATTAAAAAACTGAAAAGTGGTGCGTGCAAAATTATTCGGCCCCTTTACTTTCAGTGCAGCAAACTCACTCCAGAAGTTCAGCGAGGATCTCTGAATGATCCAATGTTGTCCTAAATGACTGATGGTGATAAATAGAATCCACCTGTGTGTAATCAAGTCTCTGTATAAATGCACCTGCTCTGTGATAGTCTCAGGGTTCTGTTGAAAACACAGAGAGCATCATGAAGACCAAGGAACACACCAGGCAGGTCCGTAATACTGTTGTGGAGAAGTTTAAAGCCGGATTTGGATACAAAAAGATTTCCCAAGCTTTAAACATCCCAAGGAGCACTGTGCAAGCGATCATTTTGAAATGGAAGGAGTATCAGACCGCTGCAAATCTACCAAGACCTGGCCGTCCCTCTAAACTTTCAGCTCAGACAAGGAGAAGACTGATCAGAGATGTAGCCAAGAGGCCCATGATCACTCTGGATGAACTGCAGAGAACTACAGCTGAGGTGGGAGAGTCTGTCCATAGGTCAACAATCAGTCGTACACTGCACAAATCTGGCCTTTATGGAAGAGTGGCAAGGAGAAAGCCATTTCTCAAAGATATCCATAAAAAGTCTCGTCTAAAGTTTGCCACAAGCCACCTGGGAGACACACCAAACATGTGGAAGAAGGTGCTCTGGTCAGATGAAACCAAAATCAAACTTTTTGCCCACAATGCAAAATGATATGTTTGGCGTAAAAGCAACACAGCTCATCACCCTCAACACACCATCCCCACTGTCAAACATGGTGGTGGCAGCATCATGGTTTGGGCCTGCTTTTCTTCAGCAGGGACAGGGAAGATGGTTAAAATTGAGGGGAAGATGGATGCAGCCAAATACAGGACCATTCTGGATGAAAACCTGTTGGAGTCTGCAAAAGACCTGAAACTGGGATGGAGATTTATCTTCCAACAAGACAATGATCCCAAACATACAGCAAAATCTACAAAGGAATGGTTCACAAATAAACGTATCCAGGTGTTAGAATGGCCAAGTCAAAGTCCAGCCCTGAATCCAATCGAGAATCTGTGGAAAGAGCTGAAAACTGCTGTTCACAAACGCTCTCCATCCAACCTCACTGAGCTCGAGCTGTTTTGCAAAGAATAATGGGCAAGAATTTCAGTCTCTCGATGTGCAAAACTGATAGAGACATACCCGCTAATTTGCAGCTGTAATCGCAGCAAAAGGTGGCTGTACAAAGTATTAACGCTAGGAACAATATTGCGACGCCCAACTTTTAATTTTTTATTAGTTAAAAAAGTTTCAAAATCCAATAGATTTCGTTCCACTTCACAACTGTGTCCCACTTGTTGGTGATTCTTCACAAAAAATAAAAATTTTATATCTTTATGTTTGAAGCCTGAAATGTGGCAAAAGGTTGAAAAGCTCAGGAGGCCGAATACTTTCGCAAGGCACTGTATATACAGTATGTCACAAAAGTGAGTACAACCCTCACATTTTTGTAAATATTTGATGATATCTTTTATAAATTTACTGTCCCCTCAAAATAACTCAACACACAGACATTAATGTCTAAACCGCTGGCAACAAAAGTGAGAACAGACCTGTATATGTAATGAATTTACATGTCTAACCCATTTTAAATGAACTCATGAACATGTGTAATTAATGTAATGTCGGTCCAGAATCCCCTTAAT